GAGCTCAGCAGGAAGTTACATGATAACATGGAGGCTTCATCTAGCTCTTGCTGTACTCTAGATGATGATAGTCGAACACGTCACAGCAATGCTTGGAGGGTTTTTAAAGGAAAAGTCCGCTCACGTGGGCATTGTCAGTTTCACTATAGCTCTGGTGAATTTCAATGGTGAAGTCCTCTGGAAATCTTCAATAATTGTTGTTGATTGCAGATGTGTCTAGTAGTTCCCATTGATTTAGCTTGGAAAGCGGGGAGAATGGTGCTAGGCTTACCGCACCGTGACGTCACTGCTGGAAGATGGCAGGAGGGAGGGGTTACTATATTTGGACAAAAATGGCCGCTCCCAGACTTGGTGATCGTGATGATATTTTTTTTACTAATTAACACTAAATTCATTAAATCATTTCAAACGTATTAGTTTTAGGTTTAAATAATGATACATTGATTATTCCTGCTGATCAGACTTTTTCTTTAAAACAGTAAATAAACTAAGAGTTTATATGTTGACAGATGTGTTTTTAAACTCAGTTTAGTGAGTCAGTTGGTTAGAAACAACTCAGATTTTTACCGCAGCTTAACCCAAATGGAACCTCAAGAGATTCTGACTGTAGAAGTCTGTCCTTTAAACTCCGACTTTAGTTGGATCAGAAGAAACCAGGGGGGGAAAAAAGAGATTTTAATAGATAAATAAAAAAGCAGAGGCAAGTTTCATCATTCTCATTATTATTATTGTTCTTGATCCCACAGTGGGCGTAAAGAGAGGAACCATACGGATCCACATCAAGCTGGTTCAGGTCCAATAACAGTCAGACATCTAATCAGGTTTCAGATGCTCAGACTTTACAAAGTTCTCCAGGTTGCTTCATCAAATCAATAAATCTACAAAACAAAATCATACAAAGATGTCTTCCAGGAACAGGTGCTCTCATATTTACACAAACAACCAATCAGGTGATGAGAAAAGCTCTGAGATGTACCAAAACAAAATGCAGATAAAAAAAAAAATCTTTGAAGGAAGAAGCTGCTGATCAGAGACCGGACTACATCTCCCAGCATGCAGCTGCTGCAGCCAGAGAAGATCCTGCTCTCCAAACGTTTACATCATACAATCAAGACCTGCTGAAAATAAAAACAAAAGAAATTAAATCTTATTGGAATCTTATTGGGATCTGCTGGCAGGAAGCAACTAAAGCTAAAGAAGCAACGAATCAATCGGCTGCATTTATGGACGACCTCCTTAAACTTGAACCTCAACTGAAGACATTCTGGAAGCTGCAGGCAGAAGATAATGTTCCTGCTCTCAGACTTTAACAAAATTAAAACGTGCAAAACCGTAATCTTAGTTAATTTCTCAAACTGGACCAGGATCTGAAATAGAACCAGCTATTTAACCCGACCAAAGCCTGCAGAGAAATCCTTTTATTTAAAGAACATCTGCTCTAAATGTGGAGAAAACGTTAAAATAAATAAGCAAAAGAAAAATGTTTAAGGAGGACTTTATGAGTTGCGTCTAATGTTTGGACTCCTGAGATTTAAATGCTCCTATCGGATCGTTTCTAACTGGAATAAGTACGTTTAAAAAATAGAAAAATATTTCACTTCCTCTCCTTCCAGCACAGAACACTGAGCAGAACATGAAGTCGCTGCTATTAAACCAGTTTGATGCTCCTAAAGATGATTAAACCAGCATCAAACCACTTTTGGAGCAGAGAAATTAGGATTAAAAGATGTAGAAATTAAAAGGAAACCTTTAGATTTTAGGCCATAAAGATAAAAAAAAAAATAATAATAAAAATCAGAAACACGTCTTTGGTGAAAAAGAACCTGGTTTTGGTTTTTCCATCTTTTACTTAATAAAACATTCTAATCTTTAAAGAGTAAAAAGGAAAATATTTCTCTGTGTATGTCCAGTGGGTTTGATCTTTGCTGTCAGCTTGAACCAGCAACCATCACAGCTGCTTCTCCTCCATTTTTCTCTGACTTTATCTAAAAAAGATGGACGGCCTGCAGAGCTGATTATCAGACCCCACCCGTCCTGGAGGACTACAGGCAATAGGAATCAAACGTACCCCTCACCAACCAGTGAGGAATGAGTCTAGAAAGAAGACGGAAACTTTTCCATTAAAGCTCAAATCACAGCAAAACGCCAGAAAACAGAAGCAGATCAAACTACAGGAAGCAGAGCTCCGGTTCCCCTCAGGAACCTCCGTACCGAACCGCCAACGCCCGCTTCCAGCTGCTGGAGCCTGTAAACGTTTCTCCGCCTTCAGCTCGGCTCAGTTGTGATTGAGTGGGGGGGGCAGCAGGGGGGCGGAGCGGTCGTTGGTGACGGTTCTCCTCAGCTGGACCTTCCTGATCAGCGTTAGCATGTCTGCTCCTCCTCGCTCCTCCTGGTTCCGGTCCTGACAGGAGATATCATTCTGGGTCTGATGGTTGACGCCGGGCTCCAGGTCGGCGGGATGATCCTGGGTCACCATGGCGACCGGGAGCTGCGGCTGCAGCTGCTCTGCAGCCGGAGGTCTGAGCTGGTCCTGCTGAGGCTGCAGCTGAG